AACAGCACTTGATTGAAATAAAGCTTGGCAAGAATGCCGATACAAGACCCTGGAAAATGCAGACGTTAGTTGTTCTGCTCTAAAAAAAAAAAAAAAAAAAAAGGCATCACATTTTGAGCCTAAAGAATACTGTAAGAATGTTGTCAATGTTCTTAAAGGGATGTTTCAGTTCAGCACAGGTTGAGCTGTGGAACGGCATCTGAAGAATGCCGTCGATTAGTACATCGTTTGCTCATTCCTCAGTTTGTGTCGGTGCTCTGCGTGTCCAAACACACACATGTACAGAACTGCACTTAATATGGAAGTCTAGGCGAGATTTTACAGAGAACGTGTAAACTTGTACTTTTCTTAAAGCACTTATTTTAAGTTTTTTCTTACAAATATGCGCTATTTGAGCTGTAAAATTGTAATACAATATAAATATTCAATTTAAAACTTTAAGTGAAAATTTGAAATGTTGTCTTGACAATTACGTCTCTTGTCTCAGAAAAATAAATCAAATTAAATGTAATATAGAAATTCAATTTAAATGGGAAAAAAAAACAGAAAAATGACCGAGCAGATGACAAAATTTATAAAAGAAATGAAACCTTTACATTAAACAAAACATTAAAAGCATACTAGTATAGTAATATTAAATTAACACTGGTTAGGAACTAAATAACTACTTTTAATGGATAAAAAGTTGCATCTGTTTATATTATTTAATGGAACTAGCATTGAACAATAACCTAACATTAACAAATATTAATAAATACAGTAACAGATGTATTGCTCATTGTTAATGTTAGTTAATGCATTACCTAATATTAACTAATTATTGTAAAGTGTTATTGCGATTTTTAGCCTAGTCTTGTGTTGATGTATTATTTTTGTAAGTTTTGTGGCTATACCTTTAAATTATGAAGTACTTTTGTGTATTTTACTGTTTATCCCAGTGCAGTGTCCAGTTCCATACACATCCATTGTAAATGCATTACTGTTTTTTTTGTTTTGTCTTTTAGCTGTCACAGATCAAACTCAACCGGTTTTGAGTCCGAAACATTCCTTTAAGCCTCATGATTGAAACGCCCATGTGCCATGTAGGAACACCCAGATCTCCTGCTTTGAATGTGTCAGTCTGATTGTATTTCCTGTAGTGTCTGTATTTGTGGCTTAGAAGCATGTGATGTAAAAGCACACGTTTTAGAAAGTGGTTCGGTGTGTTTTTTTTTTTAAGTGTAAGTGTTTGAATATGAACACTGACCCAGCACACCTTTCATTGGAAACCATGAACTTGTCATTCCTTGAAAACTTAAGTCTCTCATTTTCCAGCCGGATGTGAATAAAAAACGAGGTGTGTATTCAGTCGTTACGTCTTTTTACATTACGACATCATTTTCAAACTGCACTTCTGTAGTTACAGATGCAAAACTGACTCCGACTCGGCCGATTCATAAAGAGAAATGCTGGCAGGAAGTGTTCGGACACGTCTTGACAGGCATTTCCTACCTGCATTTGCTTCTATTGGACGTTATCGAAGATGCTTTTCCAAGGACGCTTAATCTAACGACCTTTTTATGATTCATTCTAGTTTGACAGCCAACAAGACTTCACTTGCTAATAGTTTATGCTGCTGCCATGTCAACCGTATGTTTGTATGTAGCAGGTTCATTTGCTGCACGACTGGTAATATAATTATCTCAACAGTCTCTTTGCAACAGGAGTATTGCCCCGACAAGAATCTTTGCCGTGATAGCTCTTGAACAAAGCCTGTGTTGTGGCACAAGGCCCAGACTTCCCATGTAGCACAGCTATTTCATTGTGAAAAAAAATTATCAACTTAACAGCTTCACCCCAAAAATCTAAGACATGCAGCCTGAGACACATAAGACACCCCAAGAAAGAAGCTATGATTCTATGAATGTTTTTAATGAAGTCTCTTAAGAATATCAAAGCTGAATTTTCAACATCATTACGCCAGTCTTCAATGTCACATGATCCTTCAGAAATCTTTCTAATATGCTGATTTGCTGCTCAGTTATTAATAAGGGTTCTTATTATCAATGGTAAAAACAGTTGTTTCTACTTAATGTTTTGTGGAAACATTTTTCAGGATTCTTTGATGAACCGAAAGTTCAAAGGAACAGCATTTATTTAAAATATAATGTTTTGTAACATTATAAATGTGATTACTGTCACTTTTGATCATTATAATGCATAATAATAAATACAAGTTTTAATTTCAGTTAAACACAAACACATACTCCAAACATTTGAAAGGTAGTATGTCATGGTTCACAATATTATAAAATAATAGAAAAAAAGATGCGCACACTGTTATTCTCCCTTTATTTAAAAAAGTTAAAAGTGGCAACGTTTCGTCAGGCAAACACTGTTTACTTTGATGTTTAAAGACACTGTTTATTTGATGTACCCTTTGATCTTGCACCTGGCCAAGACATTTGTGACCCTGGACCACAAAACCAGTCAAATTCTTTTCAATTTTTTTGACCAATTGAGATTTATACATCATCTGAAAGCTGAATAAATAAGCTTTCCATTGATGTACGGTATGTTAGGATATTTGGCCGAGATACAACTATTTGAAAATCTGGAATCTGAGGGTGCAAAAAAATCTAAATATTGAGAAAATCGCAAAGAAGACATCTTGAAGCCCTACTTGCTGAAAGGACCTCCGTTTAATAGTCCCAGAAGGTGCTCTTTTGTTGGATTCAAAATTATATCTATAGAAACTATGGATCCAAGGCACTTCTTCCAGTTCCAAAATGTTAAAAAGCCTTTATTCAAACATGGCTCACTCTGGAAACATTAAAAATGACTAAAACGCTGCACACTGATGGACACACTCTGAGGAAGGCTGGATGGCCGAAATGCATCAGTGTGCAGTGTTTTAGTAATTTTTTTGTTTCTAGAGTGAGCCATGTTTGAATAAAGGCTTTTTAACATTTTGGAACTGGAAGAAGTGCCTTGGATCCATAGTTTCTATAGATATAATTGAGAAAATCGCCTTTAAAGTTGTCCAAATGAAGTTCTTAGCAATGCATATTACTAATCAAAAATTAAGTTTTGATATATTTACGATAGGAAATTTACAAAATATCTTCATGGAACATGATCTTTACTTAATATCCTAATGATATTAGAAATAATATCATAAAAGCATAAAAGAAAAATTGATAATTTTGACCCACACAATGTATTATTATTTTTTTGGCTATTGCTACAAATATACCCCAGCGACTTAAGACTGGTTTTGTGCTCAAGGGTCATATTTTTGGAGGTGCGTACTTTGATCCTTTCTTTATATTCACAATATTATAAAGTAATTTCTGAAGGATCATGTGAAACTGAAGACTGGAGTAATAATGCTGAAAATTCAGCTTTCATCACAGGAATAAATTATATTTTATAATAATAATAATAATAAAAAAAGTTATTTTAAAGGGCACCTATTATGCAAAATTACATGGTGTTTGGACATTAATGTGTGTTGCCAGTGTGTGAACACAACCAGCCTACAATGATAAAAATATTATATATATATACACACATACATACACACACACACATGTATAAATATATATGCTTTTGGGAATTGAGACCCTAAATTAGTGTATATTGTGGTCTATAAATAATATAACAGAACAAACTGAACTGATGTCAAAACAGGAAGCTGTATTGTGCAAATGTATTCTTTCAACACACATTTGTGGTTGAGGGACAAATTCACTGATTGCAAAAGTTCCAGAAGGTTACGGGGTCACTGTATAAAAATGACCTGTATGGGTCAATCTCACAAAGAAATGTCTCACAATGTCATATTTCACAGCAAAAAATAAATAAATTAGTCATTTGTTGTAGTTCTCAAGTTTTAGGCATGTCTCCTGAGTCGCCGCAGCCCATTCCTCCTCAGCAAATCTCTCAAGCTCCTGGCATGGACTCTGGTCTTCAGTGTGCCCCACAGATTTTCTATTGGATTGAAGTCTGGGCTTTGCGCAAGCCAGTCTAGGATGTTCACTTTGCTCATCTGGAGTTAGTTCTTCACCGGAAGTGAGGTATGCTTTGAGTCGTTATCCTGCTGGAAGACAAAACGTCAACCCAAACCAAGTTTTGTTGCAGATTGCCTGAAGTTGCCTTTCAAAATCTTCTCGTAGTCTTCCACACTCCCACCTCCATGTTCTTTGAGTTGAGCGACTCTCCCTTCTTTCTTCAAACATAGGCAACATCTATGTGGCCAAAGAGCTCTAGTTTTGTCTCATCTGATCAAAGGACCTTTCCAGTATGCATAATTGTTCTCCAGGTTGTCCTTCAAATGTCAGTGTAGCTTGGAGGTGTCTCTTCTTCAAAAGTGGAGTTTTACTAGTTGTTTTGCAAGATACTAATCCTCAGCTTACAGTGCAATTTAAATGCTTAGAAGATTAATTAGGTTAATTAGGCAAGTTAGGTTAGTTAGGCAAGTCATTGGACAACAGTGTTTTTTTCAGTAGCCAGACAAACAGATCATTTCTTAAGGGGGCTAATAATATTGACCTTAGCAGTTTTCTTATTTTTTAAATAATTATTGAAATTGAAATAAGGCTTTCTCCAGATGAAAAATATAATAATACAGTGTTAAAATCCCCTTGCTCTGTTATACATCACTTAGGAAATATCTGAAAAATAATAAAAAATTTCATAGGTGGGCTAATAATTTTGTCTTCAATTTTATGAATATGTGTATTTATATATATATATATATATAAATAAAATAAAGTAAAATACAACAAAATAAAAAAAATAAGCTTTCTATTTCACATAACAGTATTTTTCAAATTTTTTTCCACATAAAATGCTTAACTAGAATGAAAATAATGTAACAATATGATATGAACAATCTTAACCACTCTAAAAATAAGCTCAATTTTCTTTTTAATTAAATAAAATTGAGTAAATCGGTATATCAGATTTTCTTAAGATTTTGATTTGGGGAAATAAGACCCAGAGACGTTCTTGACAGGTTTGGTGAGATTCTCTTACTTCATTTAGACATAAACGTAAAAAAAAATCCTCTGAAATCCTTTCAAAATGTCACATTCTCAATCGTCATGTTCTATATTCACATAAACTAATGAAGGAAAAAAAAGCTGCCAATCATTTTTCATTAGGAACCATTTCTTAAACAAAATTATCAACCAAAATGGGCTTTCAGCCTTTTCTGATGACATTTCAGCAAAATTAGAATCTGAAAATCATTTGCATGATTTTAATCTATTCATTAAACGACGCCAAAAAACCCCCCCATAATGGCACTTAGTGCTCATAAGGACATACACTCACAAATTCACTCTGTCCACCATAAATTCACATTTAAAAAAAAATGTACACCAGCTTATATAATCTTATAAAGCTTATATAGTCTAAGTCATATAATACGACACATATACACTGCAAATCAGGTTAATAAAAATTAATATAGGCAAACAATAATCATCTGCTGTGCCTTTTCGTCAAGATAATCACTAAAGTCTAATCTACTGTGCAAGTCAACACAGACAGCCGCTGTCTGTCATTTCTGCATAGACTGTCATGTCAAATAAGACATGCAAATGCATAGCACACTTACTAGCAAAGCTTCTCCTCAGGGCCCATGATGGCTGTTATTCATCATAATTAAAGGGACAAAAAAGATGAAGAAACTACATGAAATAGTTTCTGAATTATCCCGGTTTTCCACCCTGACATCATTTCCACAGCTTCCCAGAAAGGCAAAGTGTTTCATAAATTCATGCCATCTATAAATATTCACAAATTGCTTTCTGGGAAGCCGACAATGGGCTAAAGTCCACGAATGTCACATAGTTGGACCGTATTTACAGTAACAGTGTGCTATCATTAGAAGCTTATTTTGTATTCCTCAGGGTCCTGAGGGTTGTTCTTTAAGTCAACCTGAATCCCCTAAAGTCATTTTATTTTCATCATTCTCATCTTTGTGACACATCCTGACGATGGTCTCTTACTGTGCACGTGTTCTGCACCATATGATTAAAAACTGCTCACGAGGCATTTCGTTTAGCACTGAAGGAAGTCCAAAGACCGACGTTATTCCACTGGCACGTGTCGAGTGAAAAGGCCTTTTTCCATCCTTCCAGGAAGCATCTGAGATCCCACGCCACCGCTGATCACGGACAAGAGCAGAAATAAGACATTATCCTCAAAACACCATGGTATTACCACAGTACACCCCCAAATATCTCTGTCTGTGACAGCTATGCGTATAACAGACAGTATATATGAAGTATGACTTGACTTGTTTAACTTACACGGGGCTGAATCTCCTCTTTTTTGCATCTGGTGCTTGTGGGATGGCCCCTTTTTCTCTTCTTTCTGCTGCCCGGTCCCTGTATTTCAGCTAAAATGAAGAGCGCCACCCAGAGGTCAATTCTTCAAAAGTGTCAAAGCAATGAATTATAAAGAAAGAAATACCAGTTATAGTGGAAACAGCTTTTTTTTGAATGGTAGTTAGATATCAGAGGAAGTGTAATCAGGGCTTTCAGAACAATCTGACCGCAGTATTTACCTCGGTTTCTGATCGCTCTTGTGTCTCTGACTGAGCCTGTCTGGCTCTCCTCTGCTCCAGATTTAGCTGAACATTGAGAAACAAAAATCAGCAATATGAACATACTGTTTTATTCTATTTATTTGACATTCAGAGTACTATGGTTAGTTAATGCAGTCCCTATTATGATTTGTACCTCCAAAAATATAACCAAAATTAGACAAAAATTTTAAATAAGACATGTGAACAATAATTTAGTGCAAATGTTATTTTGCATTTGGGCTGGGGAATCCCTGGTCTGTATGCAAAGCTAATCCAGTTGGTCTAGTTATTGTCAATGTTATTTTAGTATTTTTAAATATCATTAATATGAATGAACTTTATTTTTATATATTGCAGTTTTCATTTTAGTTATGTCTTTGTAACATTGTTATGCGTTTTTGAAATTTGTATTATTTTTTGTTAAAAAAAAAAAAAATTCTATTTGTATTTATTTTTATTTCTGGCTTAATTTTACAACTTTTTTAAAATTAAAATTCTATTTTTTTATTCAATTATGTTTTTCATCTAATATTTATATTACATTTTATTTAATCTTTAATTCATTTACAAGGTTTAGTTAAAAGTAATAACACTGATTACGTCTGACTCATTTTTATTCATTTATTTTTATTATATAAAATAAAATTTCATGAAGAACAATAGACTAGAAAGAATGCAAGGCTGTGAGGATAGATAAACATCTATTCAGTGGGTTGTGCGGTTATCTAATGTGATTTTGGATTGTTCCGTTGATGAAATCCTGCAAAAACATATCTTTCCAAGCAATTTAATAGGCAAAAACTCCAGACATGAGCTGTGGAAAAATTATAAAGGAGCTATACACACATTTTTACATAAGGTCTATAAGAGCAATCAGAAGTGGCATGGCTCATGTTGGCAGATATCAAGGCATCGTGTGACGTGCATGACTCACCCGGTGTAGCTCAGAGAGCTGCTGATGTCTGATCAGAGCCTCTTTACTGGGGAACTGTCTCCTGCACAGCAGACAGGCCAATTTAGACCAGTCTGTCAGCCTCTCCTCTCGCTCTCCAGCCTCCTCCTCACTGTCTGTCTCTCCACTGTATCCTGCCACCAGACTCTGAGGAGGACTCTGCCGAGAGACAAGACCAGCAGACAGAAACATTTATTTTTATAACACTGCAGTGCCAATAATAGAAAAGGTTTTTCGAACAGAGTACAACATAGAAGACGCAAGCGGTGAGTCGCATGGTAAAATGCACAAAATGGAAACAAGACAAACACATGAAACAAGTCAAAAATTAAATACAAGTAAAAACAAAGCCATGTCTCAGCTTAGCTTGTGTTAAACACTTTTCTGGTATTTGTTTTACTGATTATTTATTTATTTTGCTATTATTGTTGCTGTTCATGTTTACCGCTTTGTATATACTGTTAAAAACGAAAAAGATAAAAACAAAAGGCCATAATGTAACAAAACCAACAAAGGAAATTCAACAAATAAAACCAGAATGTAAAGTACGATGAAACAAAATCCATAATTAAATTAAATTGAAACCAAAAATCATAACATTAGGTAATCAAACCAAACCAAACCAAAAACACTTAGTCTTTCTTCTGGATGTTTGATGTGTTCCATCAGAACCGGAGGTTGCTCTCTTCCTTGCTTTGTATGTTAAAAAAGTGAAGAGCAGGCAAAAGCACGCACATCAATCTCAACTGGGTGCTCGACTAAGAAACAAGTGGAACATTTTTGGATGTAAAGGCGGCAACACCAAAGCTCCAAAAGTATCAAAAAATGTATCTAAAAAAAAAAAAACTCGCATAGCATGTGAGACGTTTCGAGCACCCAGGCTCTTCATCAGACAAATGAACAACACTGATATCCCAATCTTTATAGGCCTACCTCCAGGTGATCAAAGGTCACATGACCGTACCATATTATCATGATAATAATAATACCAAAACAATAACATATCAACCAAGGAGAAAAACACAGAAACCAAAATAAGAAATACAAATAAATCAAAAACATATAAAGCTATGCAAAATACACGAATATAATTATCAATATATTGTTTAATAACATGAATTGAAGCCTGCCTAGGTACATAAATACAAATCAATAACCACCAAGCGTGTGGTTATTGATAACGTAACATAAGATGAAAAACAATCCAAAATTAAATTAAAATTAGGGTTGGGCAATGTCTACAAAATTGGGGGGGGGGTATTCAGAAAGGCACGGAAAACAAATAATGTTCACTTACCACATAAACAGAGTAAGGAGAGATGACTGAGGATGATGGCGAATGATTTGCAGATCCTGAGCACCACTGATAAACATCTAATCTTGTAAAATGTGTGGTAAGTACTTATACTGTATAGTATAAACAGAGTACGTGCGAGCACGAATCTCGAAAGTAAAAGAGAAACTAAAAAGCGATCATGCATTCAAAGGCAGTTTCAGTGCCAGGTATAATAGCAGTTCCCTGATGCCCGCAACTTATATACAGTATATTACCCAATGATATAACTGCGAGAGAAAGTAGGCTATTGAAATATATATTTTCCTCCCATCTCGTATTTATTCTCTTTAGGGGTTCTGAATACACGTCATTTTCTTTGCCGAACACGGTATTGGGATGCGGCGGATTGCCGGGGGAATCACGATGCCGGCTCAACATCGTGATGTCTATCAGCCATCAACGACAGACGATAATATCGTCTATCGGCCCAACCCTAATACAAATCAAACATCATAACATAAGGTAACAATAAAAAACAAAACCACACTTCTCTCTCTTCTGGGTGTTTGCTCTTTTCAAATGTCTTGTTTTGTATGTTAAAAACTTAAAATAATAAAGAACAAAAAACAAAAACAATAAATGAAGCATATCAAAACAACAAAAATATGAAACAAAATCTAAAATAAAACAAAAAACAAACACCATACCATAACAATGAAATTAAAGCAAAAACAAACAAAAGTGAAAAAGCAAGACAAAACGCACTTCTCTCTCTTCTGGATGTTTGATCTGTTCCATCAGAATCTGAGGTCTCTCCAGCAAGGCATCCTGTGCAGAGGGAAGAAACACCATCAGTTATTAGTGGTTCAACGGATCACAAATCTCACGGTTTGGATCATATTACAGCTTTTGAGCCATGGATCGGTTGTTTTTAGCATTAGCAAGAAAATTAAAAAATATATATATATATATATATATTCAATGTAACTTTACTTTCCATAAGTACTTCTTTGCAAAAATTCCTAACTTAAGAAAGTTCAAACATTATTAAAGAGACAAGTGAACAGCCAGCAAAAGTACACAAATTACAAGCATAGATAAATACAACAGAACAATGCTACAAATAAAATAAGGTCGGTAGTATTCGGATCACCTACGATCCGTTCAACCACTATCTGTTATACAAATGAAAAAGGTGGCATTTTAAGAGCCTGGCATTAATCAGACGTGTAAAAACCCAACCTTCATCTCCAGGACGGCGTAGCCGGCATCAGCGCTGGCAGATTCCCGTCTGTCATCGGGTCTCCCCTGTGCCATCAGTCGAGAGTTAGTGCTCAGTACTCGCCCATTCTCCTTCTGCCTGTTCAGACTTTTGGCCCACCGCTCCATGTCTTTAGCGATCTAAGGAAAAGTACAAGCACAACAGGAAGATATACTCAATTTAGATCACATCCAAAAACACATTAATAAACCTGAACCCTCACAAGCAGTGAGGGTTTCTGTCCGAGACTGTACCTGCTGTGCCGTCTTATTCCTGGGCTTGTCCTTCTTGTCCTTGCTGCTGTTGGGAGCACCTGTAAGGTCAGAGATGGCTCCTGCGGCCGCAGCGTCTGTGGTGTCATCGGACGTCTGTGACGAGGCAGGAACATACGTGTGTCTTTCCCCATCCCAGTACATGTACTGCTGCGTATGGGCATTATAGTAGTACTAGAAGAACATCACAAAAACAAACAGCAACATTATCAGTATCAATGTGCTTGTTTAGTCGCTCAGTAAGCCTACAAGCATGACTGACTGGTCATTTAAAAAAAGATTCCTGGCAAGATTACTCAGAACTAGGAGTGTCCTGCTCCTTCTCCCTATGGAATCCATTTTATTTTTTCCCCAAATTCCTTTTTTTATTTATTTTTTTCAAAATTCAGTTTTTTTTTTTTACATTTAAATTTTTCTAGATTCTGTTTTTTTTTTAAATTGTTTAAATTTTTCTAGGCTCTGTATTAATGGTTAAATGACATTTTATTCATCAAAAAGCATGTCTAATTAATTGAAATCATGAAACTTACAATATTAAACAGCAATTTATTAAAAGTAAAAAAAAAAAAACATTCTTAAGGCCCTATGAAATGTTTTTTTCCCCTCAAATTCAGTTTTATTTTGACCAATTTCTGTTTTCCATAAATTATCTGGATTCCATTTTAATAGTTTCATTAAATACTATTAATACTAACATCTCTAATTAATAGATTTTTCGGAAAAAATACTAAATTATTATTATTTTCTTTATTTAATTTTTTTTTTCCAGAAATACCGTGTTGTGTATTTACATTTTTTGCTAAACATTCTGGTAAATATTCCTTTAAAAATAATGTTTTAATAATAATGTTATTATTAGAAGTAGTACTCAGGGCTCTGAACCTGTTTAAGGAACGAAAAATGGAAACGGATGAAATTTTCAGAGGAAGAGAACCAGAACCAGAAACTAAATCTAATTTTATAGTTCCGAACAGAATCGAAAATTTGAAATGGCCATTAACCGGTTATTTTATCATTCCACTTCTGTGAACGGAGAAAACTGAATAAAACTATAGGCTTACATAAAAAGCAATATAGGCATATACAGGAAATATATTTCACTTAAATCATTGACAGATTAACTAAACGAAAGAAAAAAATGTGCTGACTTACGGTTCATTGTGACGTGTTCCAAATTTCTCGGAAAGGAAAGCAAGACAGCACAAAGTAGTTTTCTTTATTTTGCAAAAGCTTGACAGTTTTGAATAATGTCTTCTTGCTTCTATCTGTATAACCACCCGGCGTTGGTATGACCATGGCGCCTCACGCACACACACACAACATATTTCTGCGACATTGCAGCCTGTTCATTATCAAAATAAAATACAGTTAAAGAAACAAATAAAAAGTTACACTGCTCCGTTGTACAAAATCTGTTGCGTTCAGCGTGACCAGCGCCTCACTGTAGCCGATGTGAAGGATGATTGTTTACGTCAATGAATGTACAAAGCCTAGCCTATAATAAATAATATTTTAGCATCCAGATACGTCGCGAATATGGAAACATTTGGAATCGTGCCGAATGAGAGAGGTAGGCATCAGTTTCACCTTAAATTAATTTGTTTTTGGATTGACGTTTTTATAGCCTACTATATGTTAGTATGCTAATACTGTTTAGTAGCCAACATTTGGCCAAAATCTAGAAAAGAGGATGCTGTATAGGCTGTGACTAAGCGCAGCGGGTTATCAGAGATCTAACGTTACCAGATCTCTTCCTGTTTTTTTTTATTTTTTCTTTTTGAGTAAAGAAAACGCTGTACTTTATTATTATTATTATTATAGGCAAAGAAAATTGTTTTTAAAAAATAACGTTATTAACCGCTATTTCGTTTTAATAACCCGTAACCCGAACCGGTTTCGGAACTGTAATAATACAGAGGAACGCAGGAACAGAAACGTTAAAATATCGATTCTGCTCGGAGCTAACCGATTGAATTTTTTTCCCATTTTCAAGCCCTGGTAGTACTATAATTACATTAAGTAATATTTCGGTCACAATTTCTTCAAGTTAAACTGAACTTTTATTTTGATGGGTTGCTGTGAAGGCCTTCCGTTTGTATAATATATGAAGATAGTTTTACTAAATAAAAATAAACGGTAAAATGCTCATAAGGTGACTCTCAGAGCAGTTCTAGAGATTATGTTTGTGTTCATGAACTCATATATTGAGGCGGCAGAGGCTGAAAACTCTGCGAGTGTGTAGTATGTGTGTAGCAAACACGTCTGCGCGATTCATTCACACAGAGACACGCAAAACATGCAGGATTTGTATTTAAATGGTATTTTTGTGGCTTAATATTCACAGACACTAGTCTAATCACATTTTGATTTAAGTGTGCTGACCTAACATTTGATTTATTCATCCAAAACTTGGCAAACTCCGTGACATTCCACGTTATACAATAAATTAAGTTTTTATGACTGGATTCCATCCACGTTTTCAACGTCGCGAAAATTATAGGGCCCTATGGAGGGTCCCTTTCTGAGTTTAGCTTTAACCCTATTTAAACACACCTGAACAAGGCAAATCAAGGTCTAGAAATGTCCAGGAAAACATGTTAAGCTGAACACTTCAGGACACTGGCCCTCCAGTAACAGGATTGGATACGTCTGCTCAAAACTAATCGAAAGCCGCTTTTCCACTATCGGTAGTGAACAGTACAAGAACTGTCAGGTACGGCGTGCCACGATTACAAACCGTTCTCGGCACGGTTAGACAACGGAAAAGCGGCTAAAGATTCCTGAGCAAGCTAATGATTAAGGCTGCACATATGACTTTATTACCTGTGAATTTGGGTCATAGTAGAGGCCTGTAAGAGCGTCGTAGTAATAGCCAGAGCTCTCATCGTACTGGTACGTGGATACGTCAGGATCCGCTGCAGGAAAGAGGAAATACAACTGATGCACCTCATTCACACGAAACTGAATATGCACGGGAATTCATGAGGTCAGCTTAAAAACAACAACTCTAAATTCAATGGCAAGAAAAATTATGTGAACCCATTGGGATTGGTTGCTTTTCTGCATTAACCGGTCATGAAATGTCATCCGATCTTCATCAAAGTCACAAATATAGACAAACACATTGTGCTTGATGATCTAAGTGAACTAAGTTGGAGTTTAACCATATCCACTGAGATATTCGGCTCAAATGAAAGTGTAATGCAGTCAGTGTGTGTTCCTTCACACGGCCGTATTTTTACACTGTTTACGGTCACTAAACCTGCCATCAAACCTTCTCAGTGACAAATAAATAAATCCAAACATGGATCTATATTGTTTGCAACCGAGGTTGCTGAATAAATGCACTTATGCCCCTGTGTGCCACAAAACAAATTTTGTTTTGTCGTTTTAACGGAAAGATATCAGTATAATTGCAATTTATATTAGGAATGTCGCTGTTTAGCTTTTAAGAGAAGTTTTTGATTTTTACCAGATTTTATAATATAAAGAGTGTTTATATTTATGATAATACAATAAATGAGGAAATTAGAGGAGGTAAAATAAACCTTATGAATGCTTATAGTTGAAAATGCAATAATTCTGATATAATTTCTCAAATGACAACAATCATGATCAGTAATCGTAATAATAATTTGGAGCAAAATAATTATGATTATCAGTTTAACCATTAGGCAGCATGAAAATGTGAAGTTTTATTTGACAAAAAAAAAAAAAAAAAAAAAAAACTTGACTTAAATTCCCAGGTTTTTAGTCAACTAAAACTTGACTAAACAAAAAGAGGCTAGGTTGACTTAATATGATAAAGACTAAAAAAAAGACAAAGACAGGACTAACATTAAAATAAAAGACAGCTGACATAATGAACACTTAGTTCACATACTTTTTCTAGGTACTGCACATTTTGGTCAAATAAATGTTAAAGGGATAGTTCACCCAAAAATAAAAATTCTGTCATTAACTACTCACCCTCATGTCATTCCAAACCCGCAAGACCTCCGTTCATCTTCGGAGCTAGGGCTGGGTATCGTTTGAATTTGATCAATTCCGATTCTGCTTATCGCTTCCGATTCTTTACGATTCCCAGTTTTGATTCCAATGTGATTAAAAATGATATCAAACATATTTATTCGGTCTCTTTTTGCAAAACATTTAGTTGCAGCCGAATACCATGAAAAAAAAAAAATCAACAGGCTACATAAAAACTGGACTCGTTTAAGAGCTGTTCATGTGCAAAACAGAGCTGCATGATTCTGGATAAATTGAGTTTTTTAATGGAGATTGTGGCTCTCACGATTCTGAAGAAAAAAACCCCCCAGACAACTAAACAAAAGCACATGTAATTTATGAATGGATGATTCAATGACTCACTCAAGATTTACTTGTTTTATCACTGGATGAATCAGCGTTTTTGAACGAATCTCTTGAATGATTCAAAGACAAACACATTTTAACAGACCCTTTTCGCCCCCTTCTGCTGTGATCGTACGCTGCAAGGACGAACCACAACGTTGTGATCACACATCAAAGGTTGAGGAATGAAACAGACGAAATCACTGTAATTTAGGAATAGAACGTTGGTGTTTGAATCGTGTCTGTGATCTTTAAAGCTGCAGTCCATAACTTTTTTTGGTTAAAAATGATCCAAAATCAATATTTGAGCAAGTGCATAAACAGCCAGTGTTCAAAACTATCGCTTACTTTAGCCTGATTCACAACGGTTAGCTTATAATAATGTTTTCTAATTTGAGTGGTACGGGTAGGTTTTCTCAGGAAATGCTGAGCATGCTGCTGCGTCATTACGTCACGTCTGTAAACATAAAGAAGCTGTCCCGGCTACTAGGCTATCGCATGTGAGGATCCTGCAGGTGGAGGATTGTTTATAGCCTTTTCTCACAGCAGCTGGAATAATTAAATGTACCATTTTGATGGCAGATAGTAATCCAGAAAGGATTGTGTGTTTATGAAACACATGTGACTGAAATTAAATTATTCCAGTTTTAAATGTGCATCTGATTACAGATAGCCTGGGATCACACAAGAGTTGTATTTTAAAGACAACCAGTTCGAAGAAAGAATCATTTGCTTTTTGGTTTAAAATAATTTCTTTATATGGAATTCGAATGGTATGACAATTAGAGATTAGACTGTACAGAAATTGAAATCTACATGCTAATACACACTATAGACAATACCGATGTTGTTAACATTAACAATTTAAGAACAAAGTATAACAATAATAATAATTTGCACGGTTTGATGTGATATGAGCTAACCGATCGTTACAATTAATCACCATTGGTAGCGTGATTTATTGTAATGCTTTTTTCCTCAGTCAGAGCAAACGTGGCAGACTTGTTACTTAATTGTTCTGATGACAATTCTTATTTGGGTCATATATTCCAAGTCGTAGGCGAGAATCTGTGACTCCTAAGTAATGTTACAGTAATGTGACTGACAGCCACACATTCACCTCAAAACATTAGATTCATCCACGCTGGAGCCGTGCCGGCGCACAACCCACACAAGGAAGATAATTCCGCATACAGCTGCAATTGCAGATTTCAAACAGAGATGGCGACAAAGAGGCAACACTTAAGGACTGCAGCTTTAATGATCTGTTAAAGTGCTTTGTCATGTTGGTGGTGACCCCTCACTTGCAACAAGTTTAGTTTATCACAAATATTACTTAGCTTTTTCGGCTTCTGATCGCATGTGTAGCTAAACTTTGGAGCGCTTAGATTACCGAGCAAGGTCCTGGCAGTTCGCTAGGTTGGGTCCTCACAGATGAAAAAAAACAAAAAACAACACACACAGGAATCGATAGGCAGAATTGAAATTAATTTTACATCAAGTATCTGATTTCTGACCTTAAGTATCCGATTCTGGAATTGGAATTGATTTTCGATTCCCAGCCCTATTCGGAGCACAAATCGAATAAAGTTATTTTTGTTTCTTTGCACACAAAAAGTATTCTCGTAGCTTCATTAAGTTACGGTTGATCCACTGATGTCACATGGATTATTTTAACTATGTCCTTACTACCTTTCCGGGCCTTGAATGTGGTAGTTGTGTTGCTGTCTATGGAGGGTCAGAAAGCTCTCGGATTTCATCAAAAAGATCTTGATTTGTGTTCTGAAGATGAACGAAGGTCTTATAGGTTTGAACGGGTGGGTGGTTTGCTTACGGTACTGCTGGCACTCCAGAGCGGTTCCAGGTGTGGCAGGCTGGTTTGGGGTAGCAGGCTGAGGTTTCCCAATGATTTCCACCGGGGCCTTAAAACACACACACACACACACACACACACACACACACACACACACACACACACACACACACACACAATTAGTGCTTCAGAAAAGCAAAAGCTTGAAACTTAATTGTAACCAAGTAAATCAACTTCTGAATGAACAGGAATAACAGAAAACTACCTGATGGGCTTGTGTGGAGGTTGTAGTGGTGATAAGTTGGGTGTGGGATGCTGCGAGCGGCAATATGGAGGTAGCACCTGTTTCTCCTGTGATCAAATACAGATTCACACTTACTGCAATACAAGACTTGTGTGCTTACAGCAGATGTAAGTGAGCTGTGGTTATACCTGTAGAGGCTGTTCCTCCGTCAGTAGCACCTAATGTTGTGTGGCTGGTCACTAGCGCAGGCACTCGCCCTTTAAAGGCTTGCGTCTCTGCACTGACAACCTGCCCAAACACAGCTGCTGCCGCCCCCTGCTGGTGCACACCGATATCACCGCTCTGAGCTACTGCCGAGAGCTGGGCCGTCTGGAACAATAACCAGTGGTCACCATCGCAACATTGACTTTTTTTTAATAACTAATGAACTAAGACTTTTTCAGGTGAACTCTCTCTTTAAACGTCACCCTTTTGGGTCAACCGGTAACGTTTAAAGAGATAGTTCACCCAAAAATGAAATGCATGTCATTAATTACTCACCCTCATGTCGTTCATTTTTGGGTGGACTATCCCTTTAATTTGTGCTTCTCCAATGGCACATTTTGACTGTGTCTGTCTATTTTATGCACACAACATGGATAAACTACTAACTACTAATTTATTTTCATTTTCAGAGTTTGACAAATTGAAACTTACATTTTGGTTTCAGTGCATCACTACTTGAAATGGCTAGTACAGTATTGAGGTAATATTCAACAAACACAATAATTTTTTCTAAACTTTCTTGATTCTGAGTGGTTAAGATGAAATAGAACCAAGTTTGAATATAATTGTTACTAGTTAAAACAATCTGTGATATGTAACCGTCACAGCCCAAAAACATCTTCAGGTAGACAAATGTACATGTGGTAACTATGGCAAAAGCAGAATAAACTGACATTAATTTAGTCTGCTGCCACTGTGTGCACTTTCATTTTAAACCATTCAACATTCGAAAGTTCATTTTTCCATCCATATTAGTATTTATGTTGTTAATCAAGCCTAATTTTCCTGTGCTGTGGGTACCTGCGTGACGGCCCACTGAGCTGCAGCTATAGCTGTACTCGCTACCGTCGCCACACTCACCCGATTGCCATCTGTCAGAAAAACATCACTGAGAGACAGAGAGAGAACTCATAAAACTCTACCCCATACATGTAAAGCATTATTACATTAATAAGGTGTTCTGTAAACATTCTCTCACATGTGTGGCTTCACTGCACTTTCCTATTACACAACTATGACGTCAGCATTATGCTGCAGGATCAGTATCAGAACAACATGAACTCGTACCGTTTGGAACCCTTGGCAAACTCCACAGAAATGAGCTTTCCATCGATAGAGAGATGAGGCTGCACGGACTGGAGGATCTGAAGCAGCTGTGAAGCCTCCTAAAACACACAATAGAATACCTGTTCGTGCTGGTCTTACACATACGTTTTGTAGCCACGATACAGCGCTAACAGAACTAGTGTCATCGTCTTACCACAATAGTAGTGAGCTGCAGGAAAGCAAACCCTCGGTTGAGCTGCGTCTGTTTGTCTTTGATGAGCCGTACATTTGAAGGTGAGAGAGTAGCAAACGGGGCAAGAGCAGACAAAATGGCCTCCAGCGTTGTATGGGGTCCCAGATTCCTCAAAATCAGAGCTGTAGAGGATAGATGTGAATGCAGCGTCTTACCCCAGATGAAAGTGTTAAAGGCATAGTTCACCCAAAAACGAAAATTTGCTGTTCATTTACTCCTTTTTTTCTTCAGCAGAATAGTGAAGAAGATTTTCATCTGAAACCGTGGTCCTTGGTGATTCATAAAGTGCAATTCAATGGCTAAGTCAATGGCTACCGTCACTTTAAGAGTCAAACACAAAATTAATACCTATGGCTTCAGATGATATATTGAGGTCTTATGAAGCAAAATGATCTGTGCAGTCTCGGACAATGTGGAACTCCGACTCTTTTCCATGAACTGGTTCTTCTGGACTGTTTATTTTAATCAACTAGTTCAAATCATTGATTCATTTACGTAATCACGCAATGACGTCACGTATACCCAAAGCACCCAATAATGATGTAAAAAGCAGGTGTTTTACTTGTCTAAAGCATATAGAGTGAATAAACCTGTCTTCATTAGCTCATCTTTTTACATAAACCATAAAAAAAAACATCAAAACTTTCATTTGCGCAGTTCACAAATCTGGCTCATTGGTCTTCGGTCTGAGTCAAATTGTTTCCTCAGTTCAGTGACTGTTGGAGTAACGAGTTGGCAAAAATCAGCATCATAGGACTTTGAGTCATAATGACTGTCAGGCATACCAGAAAAAGAGGTTTGATTGAATAAATTGTAGACCTGTGCTGCTCAAGCCGTGAACTGCTTCAGTTGGTTCAGTCCTATTTAGTGAACTGGTTAGTGCACCAAAAAGAACTGGTTCAAAAGAAAGATCCGTTCACAAACCGAACAGCACTACGGACCAATTGTAATAATAATGTTGTAAGTAATGTTCAGTTTCTTGCACAGACTGATCGTTTCACTTCATAAGACCTCAATATATGATTAGGAGCCATGGGTATTTATTTTGTGTTGCGTGATATGCTTTTTTGGCTCTCCAAGTGATGGTAACCAACGACTATTATGAAAAAAAATCTTATTTAATGTTCTACTGAAGAAAAAAGTCCTCTACATCTTCGATGGCCTGAGGACAAGTAAATTAGCAGCGAATTTTAATTTTTGGGTGAACTATCCCTATAAATGTGTGTATAACTTACTGTCATTGGCCACCTCGGCAGCCGGGGACGAGGAACTTAAGTTGACTAGTGGAGCTGCTGTCTGGTATATGGCAGGAAGGGGCAGTAAACCCTGAGCTGAGTCCTTTAATTCCCCCAGAGGTAAACTCTTTGGCACCAGAGGCAGTTTCAACTCAGCCTCTGAAAACAAAGGGCCATATGCACAAGGATTTACATTCATATTCATGTTTTTGCCATGCTGTCACAAATAGCTGCAACAAATTAATTTGAATTCACACCTGATTTAGGAACTCCGCATTTGAAACACTTTTCTCTTCGTTTGAAGTTCTGTACTCCACACTGTCAATCAAAACAGATGTTTGGCAAAACTCAAGACAGAACATTTTGTTTACTTAAAGGGGGAAAAAATATATATTTTTTAATTAATATTTTAAACAGTAGTTTTAAATATTAATATATAAATATTAAAGAGTGTTTGTTGTCCCTCCACTGAAACTCCATTCCACCACAACTTTGAAAACATTTATAAAGACATCATAAAAGTAATCCCATGTGAATCGAGCAGTTTAATCCAAGACTTTTGAATCACTGTTTCTGACATAAATGTTGATAAATATACAAAAAATACACTATTACTTGAATGTTTTTCCACTTGATCTATTGTTGTGACATCATCGATATAATTGTAATATTTAAATATAGTAAACATCTGTGCTCTATGTATATGTATTGATCGTTTATATGTAAATAAAAGCCTAAATCAAATGCGTTCAATCATACAATGCTATCTGAAAGTGTCTCTTCAGAAGTCTTAATTCTCAATTTATATGGATTCATTTTATAATTAGTCTTTATGAACTTTCTGAAAGTTTAGGAACAAAAATCTCTCATGTTTCAAAAATATCTCCATATGGGTTTGGAACAACATAATTGTAAATGATGACAGAATTTTCATTTTTAAATGAACTCAAAGGCAGACTTATTCAACAACTAATTTAACTGAAATATAGAACATTATGAAAGTTACCTTATTGCAGAGCCAGTCTTCATTAGCACGGGGCTTTGGGTCACTGTAGTGCATAGATACACGCTGTCCCAATATAGTGAGCACTCTCTGAAAGTGAGACACAGGAAGAGGGGACAAAAGAATAAGAGAGGGTAAATATCATTTTCAGGATGGAATTGGCACACTTGAGACCTCATCTCACACAAGAGGGGAGGAGAAGACTGGATAAAAGAGAGAGAGGAAGACAGATATCACCATCAGCTTGAGAGGACTCAGAAAGACGCACCGGCCTGCGTGTGAGAGAGTGTGTGCAGACACCCTCTCCGGCCAGAAGCCTCAACCTCCCCCATTCAGGAGAACACAAACATGTCACGCTCACTCCTGCCCACCCTGAAAACCCACATTAAGCCATAAATAAAACATCCAGACAGAAGTTTCACAAAAGCAAACTCATACAGCGATGACAGAACATGTAGAATAAAGACCTGAATGTATTATTAAACCGGAGCAAAAAATAAATCTTTGAGGAGCTGAATGCTAAAAAATAAACGACAACTTCCCTCATTCAAGCTGTACTTCATAATGACATTAAAGAGAGAATTCACCCAAAAATTTAAAATAGCCGTTCCCTTTCAAGGGAACTTCAAACTGCGTCCTCTAGGGGTTGCTATGGGGAACGCCTCGTCGTGACCCGTGTCTGAAGCATACATTGAAAAACCACCAACAACATGTTGGCCGGCGACAGCCCATGACATCACTACCGGTGTGAATATAGTATAAATAGGCGCTGGGAGCACACATCATTCACTTCTTCGTCTTCACTGACCATTTGTTTGAAGCGTGCATTTCCGTGGTAAGAGCGATCTATATTCCTATCGTTATGGCGAGCACTAGCAAAGCGTTTAGAGGGTGTGTGCATCCACGTTGTTGTTATTTGACACCTGATGACACACACGATCTCTGCGTTGTTTGTTTGGGCAAAGAGCACGCACGCGATGTCCTTGAGGGGGCAATCCGCGTTCATTGTGAGCGTATTTTAATGAAAAGCTCCGCTCTCGTTTGTCTCTCTTTTCGAGGAAAGGGGGGCAGCCATCTGCTTCCCGCGGCTCAGGACCCACCG